AAAAAAAAAAAAAAAAAGGGTGACTAGGCCATAGTCAACCACGCTGGCCAAGTGCGGGTTGGTTGACTTCACACATATCTTTTGAATTTCTTCGCCAATATGTGCAGGTTTCCTCACAATTTTTTCCTTCACCGTAAGAACGTCGGGTAAATTATGTACATATAAAATTTCGATAAATCGAAAATCACATTGGTACATGGTGGGATTCGTACCCAAGACCTGTAGATTACAAGTCAACTGCTTAAACCACTTAGCCACCGACGCTCTCACTGTCAACTCTCATAATTTTTTACATGCTTACAGCCAAATACTGAAACAAATACTGAATACTTTGTTTCAAAAGCACCACTTGCAATCTGATAGACATCAAAAATTACAGAGCCTGTCCCACCACTGGCTGTTAGAGGCCCAGATAGTTTAAAAATGACTTCACTGTCAGATATGGTACAAAATCCAATATTTCCATCATATATTTTACATGTTGGATTGTTATCAGACAATTTACAATTTGGTGGGACAGGCCCTAATGGCCTTATGTGTCCTTATCTTTTAAGTGGTAACATATTTAAATGATATTTTGGTATTCTGCCCTTACATTTATATTACTGTAATTAATTTTATTTTAATGTCTTCTACAATATTCTAAAATTCCAACTTTTTAAATTACTCAAGTTTAAAAAACTTATAAAGAATGTCATTCTCAAATACATCATACAATGTAATGTATTTATTTTTTTATAAAAAGTTTTGGAAGCATGTTAATTTGCCTAATACATAGGCATAGCTTGCTATAATATTGTCATGCTAGAATAATTTCACAGAGTATCTTATTTGTACATGAGAAAGATGCTCATGCAGAACTGTGGGAGGGTCCTCGCAGCGGCTGCAGTGTCTCCGCACAATTATTCAGTGTGGATGAAGCAAGACCAGTGGATAGCTTTAATCAGTATATAACAAAGTAAGTAATATGTAGATTTTTTTCTATGGTTATATTTAATTGAGAAAGTAATAAGATGAATGTGTTTTATGTATGACTAGCTATCGCCCGTGACTCCATCCGCATGGTATTAAATAAAAACAAAAATGGGTAGCCTATGTGTTCTTCCAGACTATCCTCTACATCTATACCAAATTTCATCCAATTTCTTTCAGTTGTTTGTACAAACTTCAACATCCATCCATCCATCTAAACTTTCGCATTTATTACATTAGTATGATTGACCCGCGACTTTGTCCCTGTGAAATAGAAATAGTTTAGTTTCCTATGTGTTCTTCCAGACTATTCTCAACATCTGTGCTGAATTTCATCAAGATCCATTAAGCTGTTTAGCCAGCAAACTCTAACAAACATCCATCCATCTAAACATTTATAATATTTGTAAGATAAAATTCATAATACTAGCGTTCGCCCGCGACTCAGTCCATAGAAGTAAAAAATCAAAAGTAAGTAGCCTATGTATACTTCCAGACAATGCTCTACATCTGTGACAAATCTCGAAATCCGTTCACCTGTTTAGGTTTTTTTTTTATTATTCAACATCTACATACTCTTGGTCCATACTCTTTTTTGCACAGTTTGTGTCTTTTTTCTTTTTTTTTTGTTGCATTATCCTTATTACAATAACGAGTTCCTTTTTTTTAGTCGTTCAGGTTACAAACTTTAACAAACATCCATCCATCTAAATTTTCGCATTCATAATATTAGCAAAAGAAGTATTTTTAAACGACTTTCATTAACTATCTTATTCCAATATTTACAGAATAACATCATTATCAAAACCAGGTATCCTATGGTATCATAACGAGAATCCTGCAAACCTGGACATCCATGACGTCATCCGTTCTGTGCTACACGGTCAGATATCTCTAGAAGATCCGCAGAAGACTCTGCATCAAATGAGAGTGATCAAATCTCCCGCTGAAATTGAACTGATGAAGGAGGCTTGTTATATCGGCGCACAATCGGTGAATATGGCTATGGCTTGCACTAAACCTGGTAGGTAGGTTAGATTTAATTTTGAAAACTGTATTAGTATTAGACTGCTTGTTACATTCATCTCTATTTGCAAATGTTAAAATTCAAATAATTGACAATGAAGGTATGTACTCAATAGGCCAGCTCGCCTGGTGCAATACCAAGAGCACACAGAAGAAAGACGGGAAGTAGGAGCAATAGGGAATATGCATGTATTTTTTTTTCTTATTTTAAACGATTGTTATTAAATAACCTGAAAAAAATAACTCGAAAAAATTAACCATTGAGCTAAAATTATTAAAATAAAATTACGATCATGTTCGAGCGACTAAAACGCGACCGGAGTTGTCATGAGACAAGTGACGTCAATCGTCATATTTAATGCATTTCATTCGTTTCATTCATCACATTCGCTCAGATGTCACTTCGATGCAAAAAACAAGAAAGTATCTCATTGGTTCTTTGAGTTATCAAAAATCAAAATTCGATTCATTTTTATTATTCCTGGTACAAATAAGTGGAAACGGCTGTACCAATTTCAACCGCACTTCCACTGAAGGGTAGCTGACATAGACGGGCAAATTATAGGATACTTTTTTCTTAAATTCCGCGCTGTCAAAATGGCAATCGGACCGCTATCTCTGGAACAAGTAGACCGATTTGGACGGGACTTTGACTGAAAGGTAGCTGGTAAAAAGTCGATGGTCGCTGGAATGTTATAGGCGGGCGACAGCTCGTTATGTATAAAATTGTGTTGGGTATGTAGGTGTGTCAGAGCGTTCTGTGGACGCGGTGTTAGAGTACTCGTGCCGGCAGGCGGGCGCGGAGCACGCCGCCTTCCCGCCGGTGGTGGCGGGCGGCGCGCGCGCCACCCACATACACTATGTAGCTAACAACCAGCTCTTACACGAACAGGAGATGCTGCTCGTCGACTCAGGTAACTCGGCAGGGGATGGGACACAGGCAGGGGAATCAACAATGTATATTTGTCTATGAACTGATTGCGTTTGCCTTATATAAATGTGAATAGGCTGTAAAACGTGGTAATTTGTGTTTAGTTATATAGTTAGGACGTGGTCGCGAGCAACAGCTAGTATCTTATATTTGTATTTTCGATACTAAACACTATGTATGTATGTATATTATATGTATCCCTATATATTTGTGTGTGCGATGCGATGCACACACACACACACACACACATAAATGCAATGATGGCTTATATTATATCTCAACTGCCCCCTGTATCATAAACTGAACCATGTTATAGTAGTTTAGGGGAGGCTGAAAACCAGCGCGGCCTTCAGTGACAAGCTGGAGGCCGCATCAGCTGAGCCTTTTCCTTTTGACCAAGAGTTTGTATCTTTATTTTTATTTCATTAATAATTGTTTTATATTTATAAAAGTTGTTATAATTAATAAAAGTTGTGTTCTTTTAATTTTCTTTTGGTCAATAAATAGTGTTTTATTTTATTTATTATTTATATATCTCCGTTTTGTCGTAAGTTAGCTGTAGCGGTGTTGAGAAAGTGCAGAAATTACTAGAGTAGGTAATATTTAAACTTAAAAATAAACATCACGAATTGTTTAATTTAACATTAAGTATATTTTTATAATTAGAATTTTAAAATCAAATCTTATTTGTTACTACAGAATTATAGATACAAAAATGCGACGAGAGGATGGGGACATAAACTAAAAAGTATGGATGGATTGTGTGAAAGAGGATATGCTTTAGGAGTGGATTCAGATATGACGACTGATAGAGATGTATGGAAGCATATGACAGATGCAAAAATGTAGATGGAGTTTACCTTCTAAATGGATAAGGCTGGACGGATTTCCAAGAAATTTGGAAGAACAGATTAAGCTATTTCTTTTTTATTCTGCGCGGACAACGACGCCAGTAAAATCTAGTATATTTATAGAATTGAAAAGTAGTATATAATTTCACTCAGGATGTCAGCGGTGGATGTACAACTCTGATATATCAAGAACTTGGCCAGTTTCGGGGAAATTCTCCAAATATCACAGGATATTGTACGAACTCGTGCTAACTGTGCAGGTGGGAATATTTGATTGATGTTCCTTACTAATATAAAGAGGAAAGATTTGTTTTTTTGTACGTGTTCAAATAATACGAAAACTATTGAGAGAAATTTCAAAAATTTTCACACTTAAAAAGCTACGTTATCAGTGAGTAGGCTATTTTTTATTATTATAACTAGTGTTAAACATTATAGTAGGATTATATTTAACTAGGTTTCGCCCACGACTCCGTCCGAATAGAATTAAAAAATGAAAAATGAGTGTTCTATGGTTTCCAAACTATACCGTACATCTATACAAAATAACATCAGAATCCGTTCAGCAGTTTAGGCTACAAAATCTAACATCCATCTAAACTTTCGAATTTAATATTAGTAAGATTGTTATTTCCAGAAACGTCTAATAGAGCTAGTAGGCGAGCAGCGGCCGGCGCTGGACCAGCTGTTCGAGCAGATGTGCCGGCTGCTCGGCACGCAGCTGCAGCAGGAGGGCATCCTGCCCAAGAACATTGACAGCAATGACCTCATCGGGGTAACTTAAACTAATACATTTTATTAGAAACTAGCTTTCGCCCGCGACTTCGTTCGCGTGGAATTAAAAAAAATACAAAAGTAAGTAGCCTATGTTCTCTCAGACTATCCTCTACATCCATACTAAATTTTATTGAAATCCGTTCAGCAGTTTAGGCTACAAACTCTAACAAACATCCATCCATCGAACCTTAACATTAAACTTTCTGGACAATTTACTTTTTATAGCACTGTAACCACAGACTTATAAAAAACATGTTTTTATTACACTAACATTTTCTATAACATATTCATAGACAATAAATAACATTGTCACCTAAATAAATGTGTGATTTTTTTATATTTACCATTGAATTCGATTTTTTTACTAACACATAACATTTTTCATACATAACAATTTTATGAATTGACCAAAAATGTACCTTTCCCAATAATATCGTTTAACTATTATGTACTAATAAAGCGAAAGTAAATTGTCCGCGAATTACCTTGTTAATTGTTCATTACTCGAATCCTACGTTTGCGGTTTATCACGTAAACAATCATCTTTAAGGAGATAAATAACCAGAAGTGGTTTCTTTCTCTATACTTTTTTAAACATTTAGCGCGCGTACCGGCTGTGCCCGCACCACGTGTCGCACTACCTCGGCCTGGACGTGCACGACGCGCCGCTCGTGCGCCGCCGCGTGCCAGTCGCCACTGGCATGCTCGTCACTGTCGAGCCAGGTACACCTTTGTCGACTGGACAGGTTAATTATAACCGAAAAGACACTTCTATTCAATTTTGTTAGTGTTTTGTAGCCTAATATCCGGCTTGCGAGGACCAACTTTTGTTTTATTGATAAAGTCAAGAAGCCTAACAATAATTTCTTATATTACTTCTGAGATTTTTTTAAATTGACCACACCAATTTTGAAATACTATCAGTCCTATATCCGAGTTGGAACGGACCAAATTTTATGTTTTATTGTTAGCATATTTTTGTTGTTAATAATTTGAAAACTAGAAGTCAACAATTTTTTTTGCATAGATTTTTTTTTTAGAATCTGACTATCTGACCATTATAGTTCAATATCCGGCTCGAAAAGGACCAACTTTAATATTGAAAAAATAGAGAAAAACTCTATTCCGAATTTTTTTTTGGATAATTTTCTATAAATTTATATTTTCTTGTTATTTTTTACTTTTTAACACTAATTTTACTGTGAACTTGAGATTTTTATATAGAAATATGTTTCTATTTCTTCCAGGTCTCTACATAGCACCGAATGATAAATCAGTGCCGGAAGAGTTCCGCGGCATCGGCATCAGGGTGGAGGATGACGTGCTCATAACTGACGGAGAGCCGGTTGTTTTGACGGAGGCTTGTGTCAAAGAAGTCGACGATATCGAGGCTATAGTTGGAAAACATAGCCTTTGAAAGTATTTGTGGTGAAAAATAAAAACTAGTATTTTTAAAAGTGAAAATAAGTATGGAAATAATTTTTCATGTTAGAGAAATGGATTTTTAAGTAAAAAATCTGCCAAAAAATATTTTGCAATCCTGAAAATCTAGCTTAAATAAAGTGGAATTTACTATTTTATACAATTAAATATAGTAGAACCTAGACAAGTTAAAATCAAAAGGAAATACATACGACTTATAGAGGTTTTAAGTTATAAAGGGTCTATGTAGAGGTTTTGGGCTCTGATAGGAAGGGAACATATTTTTTGAAGTTATAGAGGTTTTTAAGTTATCTAGGTTCTACTTTATAGTAATAATCGAGTACAATAACAATATTTCATGAGTAAAATATTTAAAAAATTGAAAACATAATAATTTTAGTATAAATGTTATAAAAATTAAGTTTTTAGTACAATGAACACAATTTTATGTATATAGACATATTGAATATGAAATAATAAAATGTTAAATAATGAAGCCTTTTTAACATCAATTTAAAAAAAAATAGATGTTATTTTTTCCGTAAATATTTTTTATTTATGTCCTAGCTTTCGACCGCCGATACAGAGTGTAATAAAAAAAATCATGTAGCCTGTATTCTTCCAGACTATTCTCTATATCTATGTCAAATTTGTTTAAAATCCTTTCAGCTATTAGGCGGTAAAATCTAAAAAACATCCATCCATTTACTTCGCATTAATATTAGTTAGATTTTCATTAGGGAAGTCAAATAAAACAAATTAATTTACTCAATGTTATTTACTAGAAATAGGAAGATTTTTACAAATAAATTTCCTACACCGAAGCCCTAAATTACAACTAAATATAACCTAAATAAAACATTTAATATAGGAATGTACATGTAGTAAATAACATCAAAACGTGGCTTAAGCTTATAACTATACGTATATAAAATAGGTTACTTTTTTCATATTAGATCCCTCTTATTCGAGATAAGGCACTATTGGTCTAAAAAAACTATATAAAAAAAATATTCAATTTTTTTACTTTGACAATAATTATAAAAAGAGTATCTAAACATTAATGCTTCTTAAAACTCAATTAAAATATGAAAAAAAATTAACTACAGCAAATTAAAAAGTAAATCGAAGAAAGAGATTTTACGATTTTTTTTAAGATGCGATATTCATGAAGACTATGTTAAAATCTGCTAAATTTTCATACAAAATAAAAGTGTATTTTAGAAATTAGTACATAAATGTAAATATTTCAAGTCGAAACCAGCACGACTAGTCTTAAGCCTATATATTATAATTAAAAATTCTAAAAATCTAAAAAATTTGACACATTCTTGAATTAACCATAATTTTCTCCCATTGTTTGTGTTTAATAATAAATGCATTTATTATCTTGAGTTTATTAGAGCATTTTTCATTATTTTCTATTGATAAAAACCAATGTAAACATTTAATTTCTTTTTAAAAAAAAAAAACCGGGTATAATAATTACAACTACATATTGTAAAGAAAAAAAATTTTAACTATTAATTTAAATTAAAAAGTAGATTATTACGTTAGATATAAAAGAATATTTATTTCGATATGTATTTCTCTTTAAAACAAAAACATTTTAGTTGGTCCTCTCATTTTCTTGTGGCAATTTAAAATTTCAGTTTTACAAAAGTTACACGGAAGAACGAATAATTATTAATAATTTTCTATTTCTAGCAATTTTACTATAGTGTTAAGTGAAAAAAGTGTAAAGCGAAGTAAGAGTTAATCTTTAATTTGTAAGGAGGAAGTCAAGTTTTTAAATATGTTTCGGTACATAAAACCTTGTAAATAATTATTTAAAAGGTTACATTACAGTTTATGTCTGGCAGCGGCCTGTACCAAACTCGTATCAGATTTACACTTGGCCAGCACAATTGGACAGTAGTGTTCAATAATTGGACTGGCAACTAGCATTATGGAAACAGCAGTGACCCATCCATGCCTCGCTTACATAAGCACTCAAATATACTGGCTAAAGAACCGGGTGTGTTAAAAGTGTAGCTTAGTGTAGTGTTGTATACTGTAGCGTAGCGTAATGTAGTGTATTGCAGCGTACATTAGTGTTGTGTACTGTAGAGCAGCGTAGTGTAATGTAGTCTAAATGTTAAATGTGCAGTGTAGTGTTAAAAGCATAGCTTAGTGTAGTGTTGTGTACTGTAACCTTTGACGATACTAATGTAGTGTATTGTAACGTACATTCGTGTAGTGTACTGTAGCGTAGGGTAGTGTAATTTAATCTAAATGTTAAAAGTGTAGTGTGTGTAGTGTTAAAAGCGTAAATTAGTGTAGTGTTGTGCACTATAGTGTAGTGTACTGTAGTGTAGCGTAGTATAATGTAGCGTAGTGTAGTGTTGTATACTGCAGTGTAGTGTAGTGTTTCACCAATCGACGTCATCAGGCAGTCCGCCAGGGTAGTCGCCAGTAAGACAGGCAGTGCAGTGTCCGCCCAGCCCCGCCTCCGCAGACGTCTTCATGTTGTAGTGCACCGCGCTCACCAGACCCTCAACACTCAAGTACTCAAGGCTGTCTGCGCCTGTTACATTATTACTAGTAAATATTTATGTATGGACATCCCCATAATTAGGGTTTTTTTTTGTCATTTTAATGCTTATGGGGTTTAACTTTTTAATGAACTAATTTTTTAAATACGGTGCATGAGAAGGACAAAAGCTAGTCTCATCATTCTGATATTTTTGAAGAGGTTAGAAAAGCTTATATATTACGTGCAAGCGACAAATTCGCGAAATAAATACACTTGGCTGTTTTAAGTAGTCTTACTAATAAACTGAAAATTACAAACAGGTCTTATGATGGTTTTTAATGAATAAATTGACGATGGAATGGTTTGCTTACCAACATGCTCGGCCAACTTGAAGGAGTCCATTTTGTTGGCGATGAGCTCCTCTCTGGTGGGGATGTTAATGCCCATGTAGCAGGGGTACTTGAGCGGCGGAGACGCTATCCTTATGTGCACCTAAAGTTATCAAAATAATAACTTATTATCATAATAAGTAAACGAAAGTGGCAACATTGCTCTTTATTCTGACGATAAAATTTTTTCTCTGCTAAAACGCATGCAGGAATGTATAGTCATCTCTTTCATTCTCTATTAAAAGAATGAGATAACAATATGTTTCACGTTTTCGCTATTGGGAACCAAATTATTAGGTTATAATTTATCAATTCTGTTTAAAATATATCTATAATTTAAATAATGACACATGATGTATTTATTGTAATTAATTTTTTGTTTATAAAGAAAAAATGAATTTTCTTTCTGTCAGCAAGACCAAGTTTGTTCCAGGTAATCTCCAGAACGGCTAGACCTATTTAGACGGGACTTTGACTGGAAGATAGCTAATATTCCCGGGAATGTTATAGACTATTTTATTTTAATCTGCAAAGTCGCGGGCGAACGCTAATAAGAGATTAACATACCTCAGCAGCGCCAGCGTCTCTTAGTAGCTTGATGATTGGTCCGATTGTGTTCCCTCTCACAATGGAGTCGTCTATGAGTACGATGCGTTTCCCGCGCACGTTCTCTGAGAGTGCACCGAACTTCTTAGCGACGCCGAGTTGTCGCAAACGTGTTGATGGCTGGATGAAAGTTCTACCCACGTATCGATTCTTGCATAGAACTTCCATAAACGGTATCCCCGACTGAAAATGTATTCAACTTAGACCTTTGACGATATTATCGCACAACTGTTGTGCGATCGCTGCAAATCACACAACTAAAATCAAGTAGTGTGCCCACCATATAAGTTAATAGAAATCAAACCGGGACTAAACAGCTGTAGTTAAGTCAAACGTGTGCGCGTGGCCTAATCTTACTAATGTCACAAATATGTTAAGATGGATGGATTTGTTCTAGAAGAATCGACGAACGTCGAAGAACGATTTAATAGATATATAGTCTGGAATAACACATAGGTTATTATTTATTTCAATTCTGCCCAGTGTCGTGGGCAAAAGCTAGTCTATTATATAGTTAGTCTATAAATCGAGTAACAAAAATTTTGACGCACCTCCGATCGATAATATAACTTAGGTCTACAAGAAACAGCTACCAACCATATGGTCATATATGAAGTATTTTTTATATCTATTTTACATATTTCGACCTCCCCCCCTAGCAACACCCAAGAAGTTAAATGTTACATATAAAAAAAAGAATCTACAACAAAATGCATAATCAAGATCCACACAAACTACAAGGTAAATTAAGTTTTATTTTCATGTAGATAAGGTTGAAACTCACCTGTCGCGCGTACCCGTGCGCGGCGGCCGTGCCGGACTCGGGCACGGAGGACACGATGTCGGCGTCCACGGGCGACTCGCGCGCCAACATGCGCCCGCACTGCAGCCGCGCCGAGTACACCATCTGACCTGCAAGGACATATTTAGTTATAACTATTAAAAATTCTATAACATTCATCAAATATCTGCCCACTGTTGGACATAGACCCAATGTGTTCTACAGAACGCAGTCCTTCGCCATCTGCATTCGTTATGACATTCGATAGAAAAAAAAACATACAGAATTGAGTACCTCCTTCTTTTGGGAAGTCGGTCAAAAACTTACAAATACAACTTTTGGTATGTTTTTTTATAAGAAAAACTATAAACGAATGGACAGTTTTTGATTTTTCATTGAAATCAAATGAAAGTTATCCCACATCAAATTAGAACATAAGAATCATGTAAATCGGTTCTTGAGTCGCTGTGTAGTATATGTACAGCCGTGGAAACCTGCGGTGTTGCACTTTCAAAACAACAGCTATATTCATTGCCACGCGAAAAATCCGCCTCTTATAAATAACTAAATAGATATCAATGAGTGCAAACGAAGGGATAATACGACTTTTTTTCTAGACTTATATATAAGCTGCGTTGCATTGATTTCTGTTACGGGTGTTGTCAGAATGTTTAAATGATTGTAATTTTTAAATTGGAACACCGTCGGTTTCCCCGACTGTACATACATGAAAAAACCATCGTATTGCAAGAACATCCACATATATCATACTTATCATACTAATACTAAAGATAAATGCGAAAGTTTAGATGGATGTTTGTTAGAGTTTGTAGCCTTAAAGAACGAACGGATTTCGATCAAATTTGTTGCAGATGTAGAGGATAGTCTGAAAGAACACTTTTGTTTTTATTTATATCCACGCGGGCGAAGTCGCGAGCACCAGATAGTTTAAAATATATTAAGAATGTAATGCGGCAACACCGAGCACCGACCTTCAAAGATGCTGTCTGCGCGGGCGAAGTAGACGTACTCGAAGATGCAGAAGGCCTGCAGCTTGTGCGGCGGGCGCTCCACCACGGCCACGGTGCGCAGCCCGCGCCGCGACATCTCCACGATCTCGCCCGGCAGCACCTCGCGCACGTAGCGCGCGCCTGCAACACGCATACTATACTATCCTTCTTGTTCTTGGTATCGGGGGGGGGGGTCTTTAAAAAAGATACCCTTCTATCTGAAAAGACTGAATTATGTGTTTGTACTCAATAAAACTCGGCTCGGAGCCTACCCTAATAAGGGGTGACTAGGACATAGTCCACCACGCTGGCCAAGTGCTTGTGGGTTGACTTCACACATATCTTTGAATTTTTTCGCCGATATCTGCAGGTTGCACGATGTTTTCCTTCACCGTAAGAATGTCGAGTAAATTTATGTACATATGAAATTCGAAAAATCGAAAATACATGGCTGGCTTCGAACCCAAGACCTGTAAATTACAAGTCAAGTGTTCAAACCCCTGAGCAACCGACGTTCTAAATAATAAAAATTATTAAAAATATCTTAGTATCCGGAGGAGGGGGGAAATCTTCAAAAAGATACCTTCTTTCTGGAGCAAAGGCAGTATTCTGAGTTTGTACCAAATAAAACCCCCTCGGTGGCCAGCCTCGAAACCATATATCTAATTAATTGCATTTGATTGCCAATAGGCCATTGAATAATTATTTTTTTCCAAAAATACCAACGAATGGTTAAATGTAGATGGGAAACCAGCTATTAATCCTTTCGATTTATGGCCGGTTTCCCGGCTATGGTTAAAGTTTAAACATCCGTTAGTGTTTTTGGTTCGACAAATTGATGAAATGCGTTTCCAAAACATAGGTCAACACTATTGAAAATAAATGTAAACCTTATTAACCCAACTGTCAATTGTAAATATTACGTATAACCGAAAATGATATCGCAGTCTGTAAATTAGTGCAATTTCAAAATACAATACACCAAAAAATTACCTATTGAGAGAAATCCGCAGGACTCAGAGGAGACCACCCAACCCTCGGCTTTGTCATCAACGCCATTCTTAGCGATGCCGTTCGTTAAAACTGAAAAAAAAAACATTATTTGACTTCGCCTTCTTAAAAATAACCACCACCAAAACATAACCTACAAAACACTAAACAAATCAGTATATTTTAAAATAAATTGAGTTACAAAAGTAACAAAAATATATTTAAACACATCAGAGTTCAAAGCATTGAATGTTGTTAAATGATAGTAAAATGTTAAATGCTTTATATTATGACTCCCATACAAAAATCACTAAAAACCCCAAATCAATGGTTCTTGATGATCTTAGTTTTCGACATATAAACATGCAAACATCGATCGGTCTCTTTCTCTCATACTAAAATTATATCTTTTATCTCTGTCATGTAACGAATATGCTCAAATGTGACGCGTACTTCCGATGATTGAAAATGTGTAAAGAAACATTTTTATTACATGGTTTAAAGCTTTAAAGCCTATTATATTCACTTAATAAAGACAATTTTAACTGACAGCAGAACAGATAAGTTAAAACTCAGTTTGTGTTAGTTAACAGTTTTTTTTTATAATAATGTAAGGTAGCAAAAGAGCAAGTGGCCCCTTGAATCTACCGAAATGGAAAACGACCGCTGCCCATAAACATCCGCAATTGCAGATGTGTTGTCTACCCTTAATTGACGGAGGAAGAGACGCACATAAAGAGTATTTCCCTTTCCTATGCGTCTCCTCCACCGTCAAATCCACTTTTCCTTCCTATTCCTTCCTCTTAAGAAAAGGGTGGAAAGGAAAAGGGACTCTTATTAGGCGTCCGGCACCACACTCATCAGACGAAACGCGGAATTACTCCCACTTCACGCCTGTCTTCTGTATAGTCGTGGTATTACACCGGGCAAGCCGGCCCTGCAGTGCGAAGATGTTAAAGCGGGCACTACCACTGTTAAAGTTTTGAAACACACGCACAGTTTTAACTAATCATATAGTAGAGTGAGGACAGTAAGAACTGAACCTATGTTGTTGGCAATGGGTCAATTAAAAACGCCCAATTGTTTATTCCAATGTAATGAAATACTCCGTCCGCGTGAAATGAAAACGTGCAAGTAACATCTATACCAAAATGAATCGAGATAAGTTTAGTAGTTTATACAAACTCTAACAAACATTCATCCATCCAAACATCTTACTAATCTTACTAATGTTCGCGCGGACACTGGCAACACCGTAAAACGTCAGAACCAAAAGTAACGGCGATGAAGAGGACTTACTACGCGCATATATTTGTTATAAACTCTGTTATGTTTCCCAAATAAACTATATAAACCAAACAACTAATATTATAAATGTGAAAGTTAAGATGGATGGATGTTTGTTAGAGTTTGTAGCCTATACTACTGAACGGATCTCAATGAAATTTTGCATACATGTAGAGGATAGTCTTCTACAACACATAGGCTTTGGTTTCGTTTTTTTATTAATACCAAGCGGACGGAGTCGCGGGCGAAAGCTAGTTATATTAGTAAGGTTTATGTATGAAAAAAGTGAGGATATGAATCATGCATTACCCGCTGCATGCTGCGCCGACGACTGTTTGTAGACATCTGCAAATGTTTCCTTTATTAATGGACAGAAATTGTTAATTAATATTACTGAGCGACCATGATGCTATTATGATTTATATAAAAAATAATAACTTACATGATGAGCCCAATGGTAATATTTTACCGAGACACAGCGGCCTGTTCCCGTAAGGATCTCGGACTGCGTAGATTTTGTCCTTCAACATTATTACTAAAGAATAACTGAGAGGTGCCAACCTAAACAAAAAAATAAATTAAAAACTCTCTTCATAGTGTGTCTTAATAAGATAGATTAATTTGACAATTCACTGCAAATTTAGTAGGGATGGGTTGTGTAAAATCAGTCATGAATCTTGTCGATTTTCGATTATTATTCTTTTAGAAGTTGGAATCGATAGATTTATAGTTATGACTTATGAATTAAAAAAAAAACACTGTTTTTATTTATCAAATTAATCTAAGATTTAGACAAACTATAATACAAAACAATGGCCTTAAATAGATATTCTCAATGAAAATGTCACTTTAGCAATTGCTTAACGTAGTTTTTTCATACCAAAAGCATATTTTTGTTGAATTATAGTAAAGTAGCGATTTGCCCCGGCTTTGCACGGGACCAATGCTGCTACGAAAATGTATCTATTGCCATATCAATAAAAACCACTAAATTATACATTTTACATATAAACATTTCTCTTAAATTATTGTACCTATTAAAAAAATCAAAATCTGTTGCATAGTTTTTAATAACTAAGCATATACAAATAGACCTAATTTTATAGTATGTTGTGAAAAAGAGATAATTACCTCATAAGATTGTTTATTCTGGCCGGCCAGTCGGGACCATTGGTCTCCCCCTCTGGCGGGTTAAGGCACAGTGCCTGCGTGATCAGCTCAGAGTCTGAATGTGTGGACAGACCTACGCCTCTACCTAACACCTAAGCAAATATAACACTTTTAAAAATCATTTCAAAGTGCAGAAGTGAAACATCTGGCAACACTACGCTGAATACTCTTTGACGAGATATAAAATATCAATCATAGAGTAGACAAATTAAAAGGTTAGCGTGGTATTGGTATGTTATGAGGAGGAATAAATTGCATGTAATAAGAAGGACGTTTGTTATGAATGTGGAGAGGTAGACCTAGGAGATGGATGAATTGCTTGAAAAGTGACATAAACAAGGGAGTGATGACTGAGATGACGTATGATAGTTATTTGGAGGATCAAAACCGGTGCGCCCTACGGATATCGGATAAGATAGGGGATAGTAAACAAGCTAACCATTTTCCTAAGACTGCTGCAGTTGACGAGCTCGCCGTTGTGGGCGACGGCCAGCGCGCCGTGTGCCGTGTGCACGACAAAAGGCTGGCAATTCACCTCCTCTGACGCTGCTGACGTAGAATACCTACACATAGATTAAAAATTCGTAGACGAACATGTGAATTGTAGGAATTGCGACTTTCAGAATGAAAAAACCATCAAAATCACACGTAAAGTGACTGGCTATATTAGATTGCAAAGATATAAGTTACTTAAAAACTTGTGTACATCACAGGTCAAACGCAAGACGTCCAACAATTACATGAGAAACATTGACGCAAATTGCGTCATCTCCTGCTATCTGCTGTGACCTACTGCGCCATTTGGACATCGCGTCAATCCTACCGTCACAATCGCACCGAACACATTGTAAACAAATGATTATCGCCAAATTTAGCATTATATAAATTACTGAAAACGAAGATATTACTGTACTGTATATTTTTGTACGTAGATTTGTACACCGTCAGAAACATAAATGCTTGTTTTAACAATGTCAACAATTTCAACCTGTAATTGGTACCTCATCTTTAAAACGTATACGATTGTCGTAACATTCAGTTCTATAATCTGAACGTGTATAGCTAGCTTTAGGTATTGAAGCAATATCTTTTGTTCTAACATCCCGTATTTCCAGTTAATCATATCGGTCTACCAATCAATCGGTCCAATGGGAATTTTACCTAACGCGGCATATAAAATTGTCCATTTACAAAACATTAATGACGTCACCAACGTCAGGATGTGTTCATTCAACAAGACTCAAGGGCAGAATCAATCACAAACAATAATAGGGCAATTTATGTCTTGTCCAATCAAGATATAATGAAGTCGGGTTTACATCCTACCTAGTTTGGTATTACCTAAATCTATATCTATACTATTATAATAAAGCGTAAACACACACTTCTTTGTTGCCTAAGATGTCAGCAATCACAGCATATTATTGAATATTTCTTTTCGTAATTAAAAGCCCTACTCTTACGTCACGCTTTAGGCTATACATTATCACGTCATCAAACTTTGGGGGGTACATATTTTAGATAAAAAGCCTAATGTGGATGCCGGATGAAGCCGCACTGGAACAGCTAGTAATATATACTTTCAATATCTAGTAAGTAAAAGTGAAAAAAATGAAATATCAAATATGTTTCGAATATTAAAAATTTTTTAATTTTCTTGACTTTTTAAATGTAATATCCATCGAATGGACTATTTTATCTATACTTAATACCAACAAAAGTTTATAAACACGAGGTCGTAATTTTTTATTGCCCTATTAGGGCAGATTGTCAGAAGGTCAATGTAATCACTTGCCTGGTGTGCCCTATTCCAAGGTTTCCCTTCAACTTCCTCATGGCTTCATCATTGAAGATATTATTGATGAGGCCCATGCCCTTGTGGGAATTAAAGGTCCGTGCACTCTTGCCCTCTGACGTCACGATTCCCGCCGATTCTTGACCCCTGGGTACAAATAATTATAGATTTTTCCATACAGATATCGTTATCAAAGGCCAAGTGGAAATGTTAACACGATTATTTGAGAAACAGGTCTTTTATTGATAAGAGGTAAATATTGACGAAGTTTTCATAATTTTAATTAGAATTAAAAAGTATGATTGGACATTTTTTTGCTTTAAAGAAGAGGTGAATTATCTAAACTATTATTTTGTTTATTGAACAAATATAGCTCTTCCGTAACACTATATCATACTAATATTATAAATGCGAAAGTTTGGACATATGACTGTTAGACTTTGTAGCGTAAACTGCTGAACAGATGTCGATGACATTAGGCATAGATGTAGAGAATAGTCTAAAAGAGCACATAGACTCTTGTTTATTATCAATTCCACCTACTACACCTACCTGTGTTGTAACGCCACCAGTCCCAAGCATATGACCTGTGCTACGTCCACCTGTGTCGGCCACTCGCCAGTGCCTATCGCCCCGAACACACCGCATTCGTGTGTTAAACCTGCAATAAACATTGTTTTTTTTTATAACATAAGGCAAACGAGCAAGCGGCCACCTGAATCCGCCAAAATGGCGAAGCGACCGCAGCCCATAGACATCCGCTATCGCAGATGCGTTGCCTACGCTTATCCGACGGAGGAGGAGACGCACATAAAGAGGATATTGCCCCTTCCTATGCATCTCCTCCACCGTCAAATCCACTTCCCCATCCACATCCTCTCCTTATAAGAAAAGGGTGGCAAAGAGAAAGGGACTTAAATTAGGCCTCCGGCACCACACTCATCAGACGAAACACGGAATTGCTTCCATTTCACGCCTGTCTTCTGTATGGTCGTGGTATTACACCGGGCATGCCGGCCCATTCGTGCTAAGATGTTAAAGCGAGCACTACCACTGTTAAAAACTTTATAAATCGATGCTAATTTAAACAGCTACTAAAACAGCGCTTTATAACAGTTGCAATTGGAACTATAGTATTTAAAACTTACTTTAAATTTTTTTTTATCATGAAAACATATCTATCTTATTCATACATATTGCTAAAACCGCTCTTACTATCAATACTAATATAAAGAGATTTATATTTTTGTATATATTGATATTACTCAAAAACTACTGGGTCGATTTCAAAAATTCTTACATCATTAAAAAGCCACGTTATCAGTGAGTAACATAGGCTACATTTATTATTTTCACGGGGACGGAGTCCCGGGCGAAAGCTAGGTTTATATAAAGCACTAACACATTTGATTTTTTTTGTTTCGTTAACCTTACCTGACTCGACAGCGCCCCTGCCGTACCTCTTGCTCCTTATTTTGACTTCGCCTTGCGTCGTATCGCACTGACAGTTGTCGTCACACGCTTCTAGCGCCCCCAGCCTGGTTGTGTGTGTATCACGTGACTCCTCCCGACCGCTCTGACATGGAGATGGTCCAACGGGACCGTCCATGTCTTGTCTGGAATACAACCGTTTAGTTAATTAAAAGAATGCAGCAAGTATAACATAGGATACGGGGCGCCTGGCTCCAATGGTACAGCTGGCGCTAGGAGTCAAACGCCAATGGAGGTATCTTCTACTTTAAGGACCGCCAAAAAAAACCACACGAATTTAGTATCTCCTTCTTTTTGGAACTCGGTCAAATATGGTTAACACAGTCCTGTATTCTAGTCACCTAACATTCTTTCAATTTACATATATCTTTGAAAAAATACACGAACATAAAGTACCTGGTCTTATTAACAAGTCAAAAACCCCAAAGACGTTTTTAAAAATTAACCGGAAGTTAACGCGATCAAAAGACTAACCGTATAAAACGTGTTCCTTATTTAAAAAACTTTTTCGTATCAACTCGCACGCGACTTGCATCAAGGCGGTGACTAACCGTACTCAACCCTCGACATCTACACATAGTATATTGCACGAGTAACTAAGAATTTAATAAACAACGCATTATTATTAACGCCTTAAAATTAGTAATAATTTAATTGACGTCAGCTAAACGAAAATATTTTTGTCGTTAAATAACCTACTTAGAAAGCTACGTCATCGGGGTTATCAAGGTATCATGTTCCACCAGACGAAATAATTATAAACATCAGATCTATACTTTGACTCCTGTCTATTCTAACAATGATAGGTCTAGAAACAGCTGTTGCAATACTGCTTTAATTAGTGTTCAATTTCGAGACTAAAGGTCCATTTACACGATGTAAGTTTCATGCGCGTTGCATACAACAAAATTGAAGCAATAATTGTTTTGTATAGTGTAAAAGATGTTTGTATGGGCCTTTAGAAATTAAAGGACCACTTTTAACGGTTATTGTAATTATATAGGAGATATATCTAACATCCATCTTGTAATTTATACCTATCCACTGCTACTACTGACGTGTGGATGATCCCAAGGGTTCTCGCGGAAGATCAGCGTTGGTACTTCAATAGGAGCATCCAGCATTTATAGCTGAGCGAGGGCCCAATCCGGTCAGCATTGCAACGCTAATTTAAAATATTCTTTTTTCTTTTTTTTTTCATTTCATTAGTTATGTTTCTCATTTTTTGTGTTTAATATTTTTTTGTTCATAATTGTAGTGTTGACAAAGGATTAAACATTATTTTATTTTTTATTTTTTATTTTTAATAACCATCAAACAACTGGTGTCCGATTGTCGATTGTTTCGCAGCCAATTCAACTGTTTAGTTGGACAAATAAAAATCGAGTAGTGTGCGTACTTCCATATAAGCTCATAAAAATCAAAGCGAAACAGTTGTGCGATAGTTTAGTAAGATCCAAAGATCTGATCTCTGTCGGGGGAAAATTGAATAATCCATTTGTATCTATTGTTACAATAACGTCACTTATTTGTAGAATATTATAATTGCAGGCTTCGAAAAAAATATAATTGGTGATCGTAAGACCACGCAGTTCGGAACTGGTTAGCATGGTATGAACATATTTTAGGTGGAAGGGAAAAGGAGAACTTTTAATAAGTTTAACTGTGAAGGTTTATATGGACAAAGGTTGGTTGGAAAGTTAAGAGACAAGATTATTAAGGGAGTGTAGACTGAAATGTTAAATACTAAATCGACCTCGAAGTCGAAAATCTCTGGCAGCCAATCGACGTATAAGATGATGCAGTCCGTGACTGTTTGTTTATAAATAATAGATTTGATATTTAGTAAACATTGTTTACTCCTAACTAGCTTTCTCCTGCGACTCCGGCCGCGTGAATTAAAAAAAAAACAAAAGTAGCCTATGCGTTTTTCCAAACTACACATCTGTACCAAATTTCATCGAAATCCGTTCAAACGTTTAGGCTACAAACTCTAACAAACATCCATCTAACCATCAAAACTTTCGCATTTATAATATTAGTATGATAAATTATCTTATTTCATGACTACATTTTTTTGGTAATAGTAATAAGACAATATTATTTTTGATTGTGATAATTTTATATAAATACGTAATAGAAACGCAATTCTAGTGTGTCGGGCGTCAGATCAGCCGCAGGGGGTCAGTTATCTGGTGACATTTTGGTATCTTTCCACAACATGGCAATAAAGGAATTGTGCTATAAACAACAGATAAGTTCGTTGCAAAATTACGCCTCGGCTACATCATGTTTCTAGTAAACAATACAACAAAAACATTTTGATAGTCGTATCATCAAAATTATTTTTAAAAATGTCCTTCGAGTATTAGTAAAAAAATATACCTATGGCATAGAATTAAATCCATTTACTTTTAATTTGGTTGAGTTTAATCAACCCCTAGTTGTTTTTTTTTTTGTAACTGAATGGTCACTGTTTGCCTTGAAGATGCATTTACAGATTTACCGGGCATGAGGTGGCCAAGTGCAGGAGGCCCTTAGCCTAAATCCCTCCGTCAGGAGCCTTGGCACGGGCTGTTACTTCGTTATAATTACCGGAATGGGAGGCCACCGAGCTCTTAGATATCTTTGCTGAAAGCTCCATGGAGTTGCTCGGCACAAGGTCCCCGAGAGGAGGCCTCGGCTTGGGCGGTTGCTGCTATCTATGCCCGTAGTAGCGTCGTTGACTATGGCTTACTCACTTAAGCTACGCTCAAAACCCCCCGGTGGACACGGATAGTGAGCTGGTGATTGACTTCGATTTTATATTTCCGTTTTTTTTATACATAACTCGATGTTAGTGAACGAATAATCGAGATACAACCTATAAATATCAGAGATGACCTGCAAAATAGGTGGTTGCACAAATTCTGCTTTAACTTCTAAATAATTCGAGCCAATAGCGTAATAATTAAGATAGAATTGCGATCATGTGTTCGAGTCTCAAACAAAACTGCAGTACAAGTAATGTAGTCTTTGTAAATAGCTATAACATGAAAACAAGGCACATAAAGGCTTGTCTATTATAAAAAATATCTCCGTAACAAGACATTATTTACAACAAATAGGTCATTGCTTTATATTGTTTATAAATATGTTATCAAATGTCACATGATGCAACATTATGATCGTATAAAGACGATAGTTTCAGTGAAGACTAAATTAATATTTTTTAATAATATTCATGGGAGTACTGCACTATTCTACTGCTCATCACTGTTAACTCCCACGTGTGAAAGTTACGTTAGCACAAAATAATGGTGGATTTGTTTACACACTTTGATTTTAGATTGAAATGACGATACATCCAGATTGCTTTGCAATTTGCAAAAGATAAATAAATATAAAAGAAATATTGAACAATATAACAAGCAAAATGTTAAATTACTTTTTTTGTAACAAAAAATCATTGATCATAGCTCCTTATAATAACGTTTCATGGCAGACGGTACGGCGACGCTGGAAACTTGTTTTAACTTTTTTATGATTACACTCGGTTTCCACTGCGAAAACTCTACATAAACATGATGTTGTCTCTATTTTTTTCAACTAAAATGAGTGTGATGGCAAGACACTTGCACAGGTGTTTCGACACCAGCTATTATTAGCTGTGTATTAAGAAACAAGTTTTTATCATCACAAAAAATACAAACATTACTATAAAAAGTTCTGGCTATTTTGATATGAAAGAAACGAGCAAAAACCGCAGATATCAAGATAAACAAGCATTACCTTTCGGATAAAAAAAGGATTATCAAAATCGGTCCACTAGCGGCGGAGTTATGCCGTAACACACATAAAAAACATACAGACGAATTGAGTACCTCCTTCTTTTGGGAAGTCGGTCAAAAATAACATCAAATAAAAGGAATAAGGTATTTAATATATTTAAAAGCTTTAGTGAATATCGAGGATAAACGTTCAATTCTTGATTAAAAAAAAAAACATTTTATCTATTTCAAATTCATTTTCTTATTTAATCTATTTTTAAATTAAATGTTCTGTGAAACTAGTTTATAAACCTAATAACTAATTTTTACATTAAGCAATATTTTATATTGTGTAGGCGTAACTAGAATACAGCTATGCAATATTTCGCGACAGGTAGATTACGTAACTATTTCAACACCTACTTGATTCAAATATCAATTGCGCTTACAAATAAGTCAAACACACCCATAAATTGTAGATTCGGCAGACATTGTATGAAAAACAAGCAGTCAAAAGTACGACGTAGTTGTGTTTAAATAAACCGAAAACATATTTACTAATTTTATTGCGAAAGTTTAGAAGAATGTTATGATTGCTAGAGTTTACTACCCACAGCTGAACAGATCTCAAAGAAAGTCATAGATATAGAGCGGTGCGGAATAACACAGGTTACTCACTAAGCAATAATTAGAAGCATACAGGGCCTGTCCCACCAAATTGTGAATTATCTGATAACAATCGAACATGTAAAATATGTGATGGAAATATCGAGTTTTGTTCCCTTATCTGACAGTGATTTATAAGCTATCTGAGCCTCTATCAGCTGGTGGGACAGGTCCTAAAAGTTTTCAAGCGAAAAGAGTAACATATTACGTAACGAGATGTATGTCTTTTCATGGTTTTTCAATCTTTTTATGGTTTCGATACGCCAATTGAGACATGTAATTTCTTTTAATAACATCGTAATATCGTCGGTGGCTCAGTGGTTTGAGCACTTGACTTGTAATATACAGATGTTGGGTTCGAATCCTGCCGCCATGTACCAATGTGATTTTAGATTTTTTCGAATTTTCATATGGACATAATTTACCCGACGTTCTTACGGTGAAGGAAAACATCGTGATGCAACCTGCACATATCGGTGAAGAAATTCAAAGATATGTGTGAAGTCAACCAACCCGCACTTGGCCAGCGCGGTTGACTATGGCCTAATCACCCTAACTTTAGGGTAGACTCGGAACCCCACGGTGGGGACGTATAGCCGGTGATGATGATGATGATGAACATCGTAATAATTCAAATTTTATTGCAAACTTTTGAAGCTCAACTTTCGTCATGCGAGTACAATTATCATTGTTTACAAGCCGATATAAAATTATTACCATTTAGATAAATTTAAAAAGATAATAAATTTCAATGTTAATATAACATTTAAATTATTAAAGCACAAGGTGCGTGTGCACTCGAAATGGATGTGTTTGTAATAAAACTTGATGAACCATTTACATTCTGTCCGCCTTAAAAATAAACGAGTTATAGTTAAACTAAGGAATAAACGAAGTATAAGCAAATGTTACAACAAATTTTATATTCCTATAAAGTTAATGTTAGGAATAAACTCAGTATAAGCAAATAATAATACAATTTTTTCTTATTCTAAGTTTATTCCTAAGTTTAACTTTATACCGCGTTTATTTATGTTTTGCGTGAGACTAGATTTTCGCGGTTATTTAAAATTACGTATTACTACCATCAAAATCGGTCTTTGTGAATTGCGTGTCATTTTTCTAAGTTCTTTTACATTTAGTCTTTAAATTAAATTTATATCACCAAAAACAGACAACCTTAAAATATCATTATAAGAGGAAAACCATAAACTCAACTGACCCATCTATATCACAGACATTATTATATTATTGTTCGTAATAATTTAGTTATGGTTTTTTAAATAAACAATTTTTGTATTAAAACTGATAATAACTTGAATTAAAATAAAATAAAGTATTTTGTAATTATTTCATTGTATACAATAGAGTATTAAGGACTTATCCCACCACTGACTGATAGAGGCTCAGATAGCTTAAAAATCCGATATTTTCATCACATATTTTACATGGATTATTATCAGATAATTTGCAAGAATTTAGGACTGACTGTAAGAATTTTGTTATAATTATAGTGAATTATTTTACTGTTCATTATTAGGACGTAGCTAGACGTAGACGTAGATACAATGTAACTATACATTGAAAGCAATTGTTGTTTGTTATTTACAGTTAGAATATCATAATGTAGAGACCTATTAACAGCGGACAATGTAGGCCAATAACACACCCCAGTTCAATTCTATCAGTGTAATAACTGTATTTTGATTAAATAAATTTTTTAGTTACCTTATAACTTGTATAATAATTTTTAATCTATTAATTGTACAGATAATTATAAGTTTTGTATAAAATAATCAACTAAACAACTAAAAAAAAAACAATTAGTTAGATTGCAGAATGACAGTATTCTTACACAAAAAATCCATCCAATAAAAAAGGGATATCTTATATGGGGTGACCTAACAGATATAACTTTTCTTTACAATTCATGTAGATATCTCTCCGATAACAGCAAAGTAAAATAAATGTAATTAAATTTCATAAGAGAAAAATTATGTTTCCGACAATTATTTCAAGATTTTAACTAACCATTGATTTTTAAATTACTTTAAAAGTATTTTGAAATGAACAAACTCTATTTTTATAGGATAGGGCAAATAAGCAAGTGAACAGTTGGTATTATAAAAGCAAAGTGACCGTTGCCTATAGACATCTGCGGTAAATTAAATTTATATAGATGCAGTTTACCCTCTTATAATAAGTAGACACAAGATATGTTAAGAAAAAAAGCAATTTCCTTCCATTCCGCACTTTCAATGTTAATATTTTTGAAAAAATACCATCAAGGTTTCTTTAAGTACTAGACCGATTCGGTTATCTTATCTGTCTATTATAAATAATAGACATAATAAAAACTTAAATACTAGTAAAGTTACTAAAGTTTAGAGATTGGGAAAAAGTTAATTATTTGATACTGAAAGTTTTGTGTATTTACAAAAAAAAAACATGTTGCAGGCTACAAGTTAATATCTTACTATTGAAGAGACGAGAACTTAAAAAATAAATTTCCTAGCAGTAAATATATCTGCTAATTAATAAGTGTTACATAAATTACTACGTAAGTCTGAAATCCCATGAAACTATTGACATTTAATATAAAGTTAAGCAAAGTTTAGAAAACTTATAGCAAAGTTACTCTTGAATAAAACTTAAGTATACTTAGCTAATTTAGTTTATTCATAATAAAAATAAAAGTTTGTAACTTTTATGTAACAAAACAAAAGGAAATAATGCCATGCGGAGCACCACATTGTCTGTCATTTGACGTTTACAAAGCAATAATTATCATAAGTAAACTTAACCTGGGGAACTTAACACAACTTAAATCTGCCAATTGCGTTATTGTCATACAGATGTTGGTGTATTTAATGTCTTAGATAATAATAAATAGAAACATTGAAAACATTTATGTACGTACCTGAATAAGAAATGGTAGACTCAAGTGAATATCTTGCAAAAATGCGGCAACAACAACCTTAATTTATGAAGCGTATAGGAGCGACAAGTATCACGAAATAATTGAATGTCCATACATAATTTGAATTTGAATTGAAGTTGACTGCGAGTGAGATCAAGTACGCCCATTGAGTGACTGAAATGGCAATAGAAGTACTAGGCATAACTATACTTGATACTTGTAAAATGTAAGCCACCTATAAAACAGCAAAATCCTTTTCAGCTGTTGCGTTTTTTATGAAGTTGAATAATAAATCCTCCAGAAAATTTTACAGAACACAGTATTTTATGTGTAACAAGTATTTCATCATTAATTTTAAAATTACCTTTAGGACGTAACATTTTTGGTAATAATAATAATACGGTAGATAGAATGTTTACAAAAGAGTTTCTCAAATATGCTCAAAGTATCAAAATCAGATAGCCGCGTTATAAATTGTTATCACAAACTCGTCAGATAGCTAACGCGTAGCTTCGAGCACGTGGTTGTATTCAAATAATATTGGTCGTCAAAACTTTATAAGAGGTTCTCTGTTAAATAGGTTGGTCGCGGTGCATAAATTCCTGTGTTAAGGCCGCTTCATTACTAGTATATCATCCAATAAGTCAGAAAAATGTCTTATCCTAAAGAAGGTAAGAATTATAATTATTTATTTTAAATCTAGTGGTATTATTCGACTGAGTTAAGAAGTCTATTTCATGTATTTTCTATCCGGCATTTTTCATTGTACAAGATTTCTATTTGTTTGTTTGGCCTTGAACAAAACTTTTAGTTTTGTAAATGGTACGGATGGGTATTTGACTTAAGAATAACTTCATTAATCCAGGATATGACTTAATGACCTTGACCTTGCGAAAGCTAATTCTAATTTTATGTTTCGCGTTGATTATGCAAATTAAAACAACGCCTTGACGATTAGGTTGTTAGATAGATAATAGTAAAATTTATTTCATATCCTACGATTCAAATTCCGCACATTGTAATTAAAAATAGAAACATTTAAACTACTTCTAGACAGAATGTTCATTGACTTTTTTTCTTTATGCATTATTTCCAATTGGAATATAAAGAAGGAAAGGGCTTTCAAATAAACACTAGTTTAAAGGAAAACCTACCCTGCTTAATTTTTTTAATCTTACGACTTGTTCGTTTTTATGATTTTTTTCAGTCGGTGGTCTGAAGCTGGGCAGTTTGCTTATAGAAGGCAAGACAAAGCAAGTGTTCGATTTACCCGAACAGCCAGGCCATTGTCTACTTTTGAACAAGGACAGGATCACCGCGGGAGATGGCGTCAAAGCGCACGATCTGGAAGGCAAAGCGGCCATATCTAATCAGACTAATGCTAAAGTTTTTGAAATACTCAAAACTGCCAGTAAGAATGTTGTTTTTTTTTACTTTTCTTTTATGCGATCTGCAAAAAACGAAGTCGTAAGTTCGAATTTTAGTTTCGTGTTCCATAAATGATGCCTTGATTAGATTTTTTGTGACCGTAACCATTTTTGTATAATAAGGTATTGTTTTCTTTGAATGAGCGTCGCCAGACAATAATCTGGCTAGGTTTAGATTTCTAGAGCAGCTGCCCCCATTGTCCTTAGGCGACGGCCATGATTGATTAATTCTAGGGCACGACCATACGCCATACTTGTAACTTTAAATAAGGAACGTTTAATTGAAGTTTTTGTTTTTTTGTCTATTTTTTCTAGCCAGATATGTAGTAATATTCTGTTTGTATTACGTAATCCGATATCATTTCACTTGTTTCTCCTGACCTCATATAACACCGGAGTATTATCTCCGTTGTTTGTAATTACGAAACATAAACTAAATATAACTTAAGGTCATATTGCAAAGATACGATATAACAAATAAGTTACTTACATACTGTAAACATACTTAATATCCGTTACTTTAAAACAACAGGATTTTTTCATTTAGTTTAGGGTCTTTGAATGTTTATGTCAATCAAAGAAAGAAAAAGACTTTGTTTTTAAGACGTTATTGATGTCGAAATCATAAATTTAAATTGTTCATTACCTAACATAGTTACTTAAACGCAAACAAAGAGATGATGATTCTTAATCAACGTGAAAATACAACAAATTATTAATAACTGAATAATTCTACTTTTTTCGCAGACATCAAAACAGCGTTTGTCAAAATAGCGTCACCCACCGCTTTTATATCAAAGAAATGCGACATGGTACCAATAGAGTGGGTGACGAGGCGGCTGGCCACCGG